TGCTAAAGGGAGTCCTTCAGGATGAAACAAAGGAGCGATAAATGTAACTCACAGCCATAGAAAGAAATAAAGAGCTCTAGTAAAAGCAAACACATAGGTAAATATAAAAGCTAGTATTATTGTATTTTTGGTTTGTAGCTCCATATTTTTCTATAATTTAAAAGACAAATGAATAAAACAGTCATTGCAAATCTATGTTAATGGGCACATAATATATAAAACGTAGTCTGTGACAATAACAACATAAAGGAGAAGGGACTAAGATGTATAGGAGCAGAGTGTTTATATAATATTCAAACTAGGTTGTTATAAGTCATCACCAAGGTATCCACTAAGAAAGTAACTATAAAATACACATAAAAGGAAAGCAAAGAGGAATCAAAATGGTATGCTACAAAAAGTCAACTAAATACAAAAAAAGGGAGTAATGGAGGAATTGAAGAAGAAAAAACATAAGATATACAAAAAATAAATATCTAAGTGTCAGAAATGAATCCTTCATTATAAGTAACTAAAGTAAATGGAGTAAATCCTCCAAATAAAAGGCAGAGATAGGAAAAGTTTGATTTATCTATATGTTGTCTACAAGAGACTCACTTTAAATACAAAAACACAAAGAACTTGAAAGTAAAAGGATAGAAAAATATTCCATGCAAAAGAGAGCTGAGGTGGCTTAATTACTGTCGGACAAAATGGACTTTCAGTCAAAAAAGGTAACAAGAAACAAAGAAGTACACATATGAATGAAAGGTTTGATACAGCAAGAAAATATAACAGCTATAAATACCCAACAACAAGCCCCAAAATATATAAGGCAAAGATGGACAGAATTGAAAGAAAAAAAGTTCCACAATAATAGCTGGAGTCTTCAATAACCGATTTTCAATAATGGATAGAACAACCAGACAAATGTCAGTAAGGAAACAGAGAACTTGAACAACACCATAAACCAATTAGACCTAACAGACATACACAGAAGAATCTGCCCAACAATAGCAGAATACACATTCTTCTCAAGTACACACAGAACATTCTCCAGGAAGGACCATGTGTTAGGTTACAAAAAAAGTCTTAATAAATTTTAGGATTAAAATCATACAGAGTATGTGTTCTGATCACAATAAAATGAAACTAGATATCAGTAAGAAGGAAAATCAGAAAATTCATAAATATGCAGAAATTAAATAACACACTCTTAAATAACCAATCAGTCAAAGAAGAAATCCCAAGGGAAATTAGCAAATATCTAGAGACAAATGAAAACGAAAACATAATATACCAAAACTTATAAAATACAATGAAATCAGTACCAAGAGAGAAATTTATAGTTGTAAATGCCTACATTAAAGAAGAAGAAATATCTCAAATAAAAAACCTAACTGTACACTTGAAGGAACTAGAAAAATATCAAACTGACTAGGTATGGTGGCTCATACCTGAAATCCCAGCACTTTGGAAGGACATGGCAGGAGGATCACTTGAGGCTAGGAGTTTAAAACAGTCTGGGAAGGCAACAAAATGAGACCCCCATCGCTACCAAAAAAAAATTTTTAATTAGTGGGGTATGATGGCACATGCCTGCTAGGGAAGTAGTCCTAGCTACTAGGGAGGCTGAGGTGGAAGGATTGTTTGAGTCTGGGAGTTTGAGGTTACAGAGAGCTATGATCATGCCACTGTGCTCCACCCTGAGCAACAGAGAGAAACACAGTCTCTAAAAATAATAATAATAACCATAATTTAAAAAATCAGATCAGCCAGGCAAGAGGTTCATGCTTGTAGTCCCAGCACTTTGAAAGGCAGAAGTGGGAGGATCGCTTGAGCCCAGGAGTTCACAACTAGCTGACAACGTAGCAAGACTCCATCCCTATTTTTAAAAAATTAGATCAAACTAAACTCAAAGATAACAGGAAGAAGGAAATAATGCAGATTAAAACAGAGATAAATGACATAAAAAATTAAAAACAAAAGAAAAATCAGTAACATCAGAAGTTGGTTCTTAGAAAAGATCAACAAAATTTGCAAACCTTTAGCTAGACTAAGAAAAAAGAGAGAAGACTCAAATTATTAAGATCAGAAAGGAAGCCGGGCTCGGTGGCTCAACCTGTAATCCCGCCCCTTTGGGAGGCTGAGGTGAGTGGATTGCCTGAGCCCGCGGGTTCGAGATCCGCCTGGGCAGCGAGACCTCATCTCTACAATAAATCAAAAAATCAGCCGGGCGTGGTAGCGCATGCCTGTAATTTCAGCTACTGGGA